GTGTGTGTGTGTGTGTGTGTGTGTGTGTGTGTGTGTGTGTGTGTGTGTGTGTGTGTGTGTGTGTGTGTGTGTGTGTGTCGCTGTTTCAGCATTTCCGCAGGATTTCACATTTTTTATTTTATTTTATTTCTTTATATTCTATCAACACAAACACACACACACACGTTTACATACTATGAACGTTCTTCTTTACACACGTACACATACAACTTCATAAACAATATAAACGTCTTCTATACACACACATATGCACATAAGAGCTAAGCTATGACGTCATTAATTTTCCCCACAATCACAGCCCGAACTAAACAATGACGTCATTAATTTTTTCCGCCAATCACAAAAGCCTTTTCAGCTAAGAATACATTCATACATGTAACTCCGCCTGAAATTCAATGTCTATTTACGTCTTTAAAACGAAAACAAACTCGTTATATAAAGAACAGGTAAGATTTCTTTCTGTTTTGTTTATATGAAGACGCTCCAGTACAAGGCCTAACTCCAGAGACTAACACAAATATCAACTTTATATTTTTTGTGACAGATTTTCCCCTGACACGTCTTTGTATTATTTGGGGGGAGGGGGGGAGGGAGGGAGAAGGGAGAAGCGCGAACAGGGAGGAAGAGGAGGAGGAGGAGGAGGAGGAGGAAGAGGAGGGTAGGAGGAAGAGGAGGAGGAAAGGTAGAAAACGAAGGAGGAAGAGGAGGAGGCTAGGAAAGGGAGAGGAGGGAGGAGAGGGAATTTGAAGAGCCTTGTGATAATTGGGTTGTGAAACTTTTAGAGACGGAGGATTAATTTGTGAAAATGCTTACAAATACGTGTGTAAGTGATGTCGTATGTGGTGACGTCATCAAGGATTTTAACGGGATCACGAGAAGTTAAACCCAGAAAAAGATGTTAATGGTTTAAGTTGAGTTGTTAAATCTGATACAAGGTGCATAGTTTAGTTTACGTTATACTTCAAGGTAGATTATACAAAGTTTACAAGAGCTTTTAAAAGTATTAAAAATTACATAAAAACACACTGGGTTATATACTTTCTTTTGTAAGATTTATATACTTTGAGAAAAAAAAAATACGATAAACTACAACAAACTTGTTTTGATATGCTTTTCCGTCGCTAATATGACAAACTATATTTCTTAACTTTCTATAAATCCCCAAGAGAATATAAACTTTTCCAAACCTTTGATATCATTTAACTAGCCAAATTATTTTGATGAGTAGCCAAAGCATACATAACTAGCCAGACTATGTGTAACTATCTAAAGTACCTCTGAAGCTTCACCCAAATTGATGTAGAACGAACGATGACGAAAAGGTTCGGTAACTTGGGTTAATTTTATTACGAATCAAATATGAAATACCATGAAAGTTAGTCTGTAATAAAAGTCTTTCGACATCCACGAAATAAATTAAAAAAAAGCACAAAATAAAAAAAAACCAAGACGGACGAGGAAGAGGAGGAGGAGGAAGAGGAGGAGGAGGAAGAGGAGGAGGAGGAAGAAGAAGAAGAAGACGAGGACGAGGAGGTATGTAATAAAGAAACTCCGCAACATTAAAACCTGATTGAATCGTATTTTCGTTCTTCTCCCAGGATACACTAGGGAGCAACATATGACTGTCCTTCACCGTCCTGGATACTAACATCCTGCCTATCACAGTCTAGCCCCCTGATCCAATTTATTCCTCCCTCGGCTTGAGAGAGAGAGAGAGAGAGAGAGAGAGAGAGAGAGAGAGAGAGAGAGAGAGAGAGAGAGAGAGAGAGAGAGAGAGAGAGAGAACTAACTATATAACGGAACAAATATTTTTCTTTTCTGTATATAAAAAGATAATAATATAACATAAACAAAACAAAACAAAATATAATTGACTAAACATAAAACCGAGATACAAGAACAAACAAAAATATCGAAAAAATAAGAAAATTAATCTCATTAAAAAACGATAATTATACAATTATCGATAAAAACACCACTAAAAGACAAATCACCTAAGAAACAAAACACAAAATCTTTAAATAATTTGAAAAATTTGAATTAAATCATCACATATCTTTTTCTGTTAAGTAATTCCTTCCAAGAGAAAAACAAATAAAAATTAATCCTCAAAATTGACGCAGATTCCACATCAGTAGACGAGAGTAAGATTGGTATGTAATGAGGTTACATTTTGCTCCTGTTCTCATAAATCACCACCCTATCATCTGTTTGTCTGTCTGCCTGTTCGTCTGTCTTCGTCTGTCTGTCTCTATTTTTAAGCAGTGTAGGGCTGTCTCCTCCTAAAGGACGGATTGTGGTTTTCTCATAAAACAACTTGAGTTCTAGAATTTATTTTATGAACGATAGTGAGAATTACAACATGTTTTTTCTTACTTCACATTAACGACTTACGTATCACATTTTTTATCACGAAAACAACTTAATCGTCTCAATTTTATCTTTTTCTTAAACAAAACGACGTTAATGTCATTAATTAACCTTCAGGCACATTCTTGTTGTCATTAACTCATTAAAAACCCAGACGATAGTGTCACATTTTTCTTCTTAATTGTTTGTCAGTATAATTAATATTTTCTTTGCAGTTCAGTCAATTTCAAAAGATAATGAATTTTTTAAGTATTTACGCAGTGAGTAAATACTAATAAATAGTTATATTTCAAAAGTCTATGAGTACATTTCATATAATAAACATCTCAAAGTTTATAAAATATACCGACTCGCACATAAGTTGTAATATTTAAAAACTTACTATAATAATTTAGGTTTATTTTATTTCAAAAGACCAATATATGATTTAGAATATTCTTGAGTTTCATGTGTCCAAGCCTTTTATCTTTCTTCTGATATAATGTTTTTTTATCATTAATAACTATAATGTTATTAATTTCTATATCAACACGAGTATCATTATTATAATACACCATAATTATATAAAGACCTGATACAAGAGAGAGAGAGAGAGAGAGAGAATCGTCAATGGTAACATGTATTAGCGAGACAGAAAATAAACTTACGGTTCAGCCCATCGCGTTTCACTTACTCCTGCAGTTAATATTCCCGCACACACTGGTGCTTAAATTTATGTGACTCCTGTGATTTCTAAGTAACTTATGTGATTTATTAATTTACTTATCATTTATAGCTGTTAATTGAGGCATACAGTGTTAATTTACTTATTGAATTTATAGTTTTTGTTTATAAGTGAATTGATTTATGGATATATTTATGTATGTATGTAGTGTATGTATGTAGTGTATGTAGTATGTATGTATGTATGTAGTGTTGTATGTATGTATGTATGTATGTTACGTTATAGATAGGAGATATAAACGTTGCAGTAGCTGTTACTCATAGCCAACCAATGACAGAGAACCAGATGATATTGATGTACCGGTAACTGGGAGAGAAACTAAGGTTAATATACTGGTAACTAATGAGAGAGAGAGAGAGAGAGAGAGAGAGAGAGAGAGAGAGAGAGAAGTGAACTAACTACATAACGGAACAATATTTCTATGTTTCTTGTATAAAAAATAATAATAATATAACATAAAAAAAAAAAAAAAAAAAAGATGATTGACTAAACATAAAAACCGAGATACAAGAACAAACAAAAATATAGAAAAAATATTAAAATGAATCTCTAACAACAACAAAAACGATAATTATGCAAATATCGATAAAAACACAACAAATCTTTAATTAATTCGAAAAATTTGAATTAAATCATCACATATCTTTCGTTAAAGTAATTCCTTCTAAGAGAAGAAAATAAATAAACCCTCAAATTGATGCAGATTCCACATCACCCTAATACGGATATAGCAACACAACTGAAACGAAGTACATCAC